TGGAGGAGAGGGAAGGGATGTTAACATTTGCCGAAAGATACCAAACGCAAACTGAACAGCAGATGTGAGTCCTAGAATGTGTGTTTGGATATAGGGCACTGTCAGCATCGCGCTCGCGTAGGGAGAACTCGCCCACTTCTAAGTCGCCTGGCTCATCCTTTGTCACCTCTTCGTCGGTTGAGGCCTCTTCCTCAAGCACCTCGCGCTTGCGTTTCCTCGGCTGGCGCTGCCACATGCCGATTTCTAAGCAATTCGAAAAATATGCGTAACATGTACATAGCCCCTCAAAGCCCGGGCGCAAAAGGCGTCCGGATCCGTTGCTTTCAACCCAAAAGACCTTCACGTTGGACTCATATTTGTCCCGCCTCACAGCATCGCAGGCCTAAAATGTAGTGTGCGCTAAGAACATGCTCTCCGCGCCTGATCCAGCCCTTTTGCCGAGCACACTTAGCCTTGATCGCTTTTATGCGGGACCTAGGCTCATGCGTAAGCACCATGCGCGTGTTGCGTGTGAAACCCTGATGAGTTCTGAAAAACGTTCTTACGGAGGCAGGCTACTGTAGTCAGCGATGAGTGGCCGTGGCTTCGGGTTTGGTATATTGTGGGGGGAGATAGGCATTATTTACTTACTGAGCAACCTGCTTCCGTAAGTGCGCCAAAGCATTCGCAAGACTCTTTATATTTGTTGTCCACCATGTCCTGCTCCGAGAGGAATTCTCCGTCCACCCACATATCTTGCTCGGAAATATTTTGCTTGATGCGCTTGGCCGCGCGTTTCAGGAAATTAGCCTAGCCGTGAACTAGCGAATCTCGCACCTTCAACCGAAGACAACTAACTCACTTTTGGCCGCCCTCCCTGTCACGCCTTGTCCAGCCCGCAGTCACGGAAGAGATCCAAAACCCGGTCACGGCCTCCGCCGACCGTGTCATTCAACTCATCCAGCAGTCCTGCTGGCGCATCAGACTTGCCGCTCGCCTTGACCTTACACATCCGCCGGAGGCGCTTTAGAAGCGCATCGCGGCTCACATCGGAAGGGTCTTCACCAGCAGCGCGCGCGGTGGCCGGTTTTTTTGGGCTGCCTGGGTCAACCGGAGTAGCAGGGCACTCCGAGGTGATGGAAAGCGGTGTGGACGGGGGCGCCTGCTGCGCCAGCTGTGCGGAAGCAGGCGGCGTCGGCTGCTCCGACTGCATGGAGGTAGGGCGCACGCCAACACGTCGGCAAGCTTCTTCCGCCTCTTCCTGAGTGACCCGAGCATGCGTGTGTAAGAAACGGGTCGCGGCCGTAGGTAAGATCAAATCAAGATTCCAAAGTAGCGTTGGAAGGCACGCGATTAGCGTAGACAATGCTCCGCTCGGCATCTTGCACATGTGCTTCTTTCATCTCCTAGCTAGCGCTTCGGCAGTCGATTCCAAGACGCTAACTGGTAACAAACCGTATGTATATATATATATATATGCATATATGTAAGCCATATATAAATATATGTATATATATGCATATATGTATATCATATATTATAATATATTTATATGTATATTTTTGTATCATATATTTATCATACATGCACATATACGCAGGCACTTGCACTAAAATGTTCATGCACTTGCGCTATTAAATTAGTTGCAGGCACTTCGGCTATAAAGTGTCTCGAGTTCAGCACTTGCGCTACAATGTCTTCGCACTTGCGGTGAAATGTTCGCGTAAAATGTCTTGATCAGGCGCTTGGCTAAAAATGTCTTCAGGCGCGTGCGCTAAAGTGTCTTCCTATAGCCATAGCTAGGCACAATGTCCAGCACTTGCGTAAAATTGTCTTCAGGCACTTGCGCTATAATGTCTCTTGCGCGAAATGCGCAGGCACTTGCGCTAAGGAATGCTTGCGCTAAAATGTCGTATGCATGCACGCACGCAAAAATGTACTCAGGCACTCGCGCTAAAATTGTCTGCAGGCACTTGAGCATAAATGCGGCGCGCGCTCATTGTCTTCAGGCGCTTACGCTAAAATGCTACACATAAATATATAGATATCTATATATATGTACTTAACAGATTGTAATATGTTGTCCAGGGCTCCGGCAGGGAATCTCAAACCACCCACAAAACGCACAGGGATCTAAGGGTCCAAAGCTCATGCCCCAGAACAAAGGCCTGCAGCGCACCTGGGGAAGGGAAACACGTCGCAACCTGGAAGCGCAGGGTTTCCTTTTCTTATGAACAAGGCCAAGGATTCCCCCAATGGGTTTACCTTAAGGGGTGTGGTCCAGGGGTCTGGTGGTGAAACCTTTGAAATTAATGCGTGTTGTTTCAATACGTTTTTTCATAGCTCTCAGCAATGGCATGCCTTTTGGTCACAATTTCAGTGTGACTAAATCGCAGATCTCTTGTGAAAAGGGCTTCCGGTCCTCTCATGTGTCAAAGTACTGCCCAAACAGGGTCCTAATGTACATGGAAAGTGTGATGGCAAGAAGTTTGGCCTTTGGAACCTGACACTTCTGATGCTGGTGGCTACATTTTCTCGACGTGCTTTTTCTTGACCGATTTAGGGTTCCCTCCCTCACGGCCAAGGAAAAAGCAAGCAAGCGTCACCAGCATCACCATCACCGCGCTGAGGTGAAGCCAGTGATGCCAGTGATGCTGGCGATGTGTTTTGTTGACCGTTCCCCCCCCCCCCCGTGAAGACAAATTCAAGCAAGCACCAGCATTACCATCAAGCCAGTGATGCTGGTGATGCCAGCGATGCTGGCGATGTGCTTTGTTGACTGTTTTGCCCCCCCCCAGGTCAAGAAAAAAGCAAGCAAGCATCACCAGCATCACCGCTGGGGTGAGGCCGGCGATGCTGGAGATGCGTTTTATCAACCGCTTTGGGGCGCCCCCGTGGTCAATTGAAAAAAGCCTGCGTCGCCAGCACCCAGTGCTTCCCTAAAACGCGCGACGCAGCGCCCCGCGAAGCATCCAAGCCCTACACACAACGCAAGCGCGGCGCCTAGAACGCAAGCGCGGTGCACAAAGTCGCGCGTAGTCGGGTGCCACCATGCGGATTGCTGATTCAAAAGTACCTCAAGATTGGCGATGGCACCCCTGATGAGGACGCCTCTCACGAGCGAAATTGTCTCAGGATAAGCATGCCGAAACTCCACGGACATCCCTTTGAATGCGAGTGCTTTGTCCTTGTCCTTGTTCTTGTACTGCCTCAAAATTATGTGTGTGTGTGTGTGTGCGCGTCTGCGTCTGCGTCTGCATGTGTGGTTGTGTGTGCGTGTCTGTGCGTGTGTGTGTGTCTGTGTGTGTCTGTGTGTGTGTGTCTGTGTGTGTGTCTGTGTGTCTTAAAACACACTTTTTTCCTTGGAGTGACCTATAGACCCGTTGCGCAACATGCTCCACTGACACGCCTTCGGCTGCGGCGTTTTCACGACCAACTGGTTGGCTGCTTCGGCGCCCACCTTGCACGGGGTATACATCACTGAGTGCCCCTAGGACGCAAAGAAGTTCAGTGTGCTGGCAAGTGTTTTTGGAGCCAGGGAACAGCGTGCCGCTTTTTCAGCTTTCCCTTCAAAGCCTCACGTGACTACTGCAGCAGGTTGAGCAAGCATGCGCACAATGAGACAATTGTGACAATCAATCCAGCGATGTGTCCAAGGGAAGCACTTCCAACTCACGAAGCTCGCGAGCAAGGGCATCTTGGTCTTTGGGCAGGTCCAGACCCATGTTCTGGACAAGCTCACGCCCTTCCATGAGCGTGGACGAGGAAAACACTTGGGAACGCAAAGCCGTAGGCATTTGACAGAGGATGAGCCAAACTCTGGGTGCAGTAGGAAACCTGTCACCGGCCAAAACCGCCCCCCGACCGCTCAAAACCGCCCCCAGACCGCCGAAAGCCGCTCCCCAAATTTTACAGAAAATGGGTCACCGGCCAAAACCGCCCCCCGACCGCTCAAAACCGCCCCCCGACCGCCGAAAACCGCCCCCCGCATTTTACAGAAAATGGCGCAAAACACATGCGCGCACGACGACTTTCATGAAAACTCTTCATGTTGCGCTGAACCATGTTTGAAACCCACGCGCTGGTTGACGAGCCTTCATTCATAAATGCACGCAGGCGCACGCACGAAGAGTCGTCAAGGCAACTGCTTAATAGCACAGAACCCTCACGCGCATGAAGAGTAACGCGCATGAAGAATCTTCATGCGTTGACCCATGTCAATTAACATGCGTGCACGCATGCGTACACGTGAAGAATCTTCATGCCGTGCATCTGAATCCTTCACGCGAGTCCCAACAAAACATGACGAGCCGTCATATATATATATAGTGCGTATAAACCGCGCTGATCTTCATGCGCATGCCCGTTCAATCCACGTGCTGCGCACAACCGCCCACGCGTCCCAACATGCTGCGCATCAAGAGGTTCGATCCTTTAAAAGCACTGACCTGCGCTCAGGTCAAATCTCGGTAGGCAGCACTTCACGCCACTCGCTCGGAATGCGCAGGAGCTTCGACCCGCGGCAGTAAATGATGCAGTCTTCCAAATCTGAATGGCCATCCCACTTGGAAGGCGCCAGGGCTGCAAACAAGTTCTTGAGGCTCATTTCCGGGTCCTGAGCGTAGAGGGATGCGCGTGCACACAAGCGCGTGCGCTCGCACATGTGTGCACGCACACACACACACACACACACAGCGCACCGTAGCACAGCAGCACAGCGCAGCACAGCGTGGCACAGCACAGCGCAGCACAGCGCAGCACAGCGCAGCGCAGCACAGCGCAGCACAGCGTAGCACAGCACAGCACAGCGCAGCACAGCGTAGCACAGCACAGCGCAGCACAGCACAGCGCAGCACAGCGTAGCACAGCACAGCGCAGCACAGCGCAGCGCAGCACAGCGTAGCACAGCACAGCGCAGCACAGCGCAGCGCAGCACAAACACAGCGCAGCACAAACACAGAGCATACACACACACACACACACACGTGCGAGCATGCCTGCATGCAAAGCGGCCGCCGCAGGAATCTGGGGCCGCACTTCCTCCCGGAATTGCGGGACGAGCTGGACAAGGCAGCGGGCAAACTTATATGTATATTGCCTTAGCAAGGAAACCAGAGCAGAAATGGCCGTGGTGTTGCGAAACTTCGGTGCCACTAGGGCACTGTGTTGGTCGAAGGTTGGAATTGCCCTGGTATTTTTGAACCCCGTTGACGTCCACCCAACGGTGACACGTTTGAACTTCGCACTCCCTTTCTTCGGCAGTCATTGGGCCTTTATCAAGGCAAGCTATGAGCTTAGAATTGCTCCAAGTCCATGTCCGTTTCCACGTTGGTGATGAAAACTTCCTCATCCAGAATGCTATTTTGAAGACCTCAGCACATGAGGTCAGAGCTTAGTTGAGTTGGCAATATCTCTTTGTTTTCCCAGTGCGGCCAAGCCGCAGGAATCTGGTGGGAACGTAAAGCCTTCAGCAGCCAGACGTACCGTGGATGCAAGGCAATGAGGCTATTCTGGGGGTTCTCCATGACATAAGCCCCGCCAGCACAGACAATTAGGGCGATGACCAGGCAACTCCTTGAACGTGGCACGTGACTGCATAGCACATTCCAATTGCCGTTTAATCAACATCGAATCATTGCATGACCGGTTTGAGCCCTGCAGCCTGGACATCAGCTTGTTCGATCGCCTCACACTTGGAACCACCTCATTCCCCAGCGGTGTTAGCAAAGTTCGTGAACCTGTGGCCCGATTCATTGGAATCCAGCTGCTGCAGCACACCGCCAGGAAGGCGGCTACAGCGGCAAACTCCGATTGCAGAACCAGGCTGATAGCCAACCTGGGGGTCGTGGGCAGGGGGGCTGGTTACCCTAGCCACGCGTTTGCAAAACCTGCTCTGGGGACCAAGGGCTAGCCAGGAAACAATTCATGGGTTAGTTTTCTATATGTCTAAGCTGCAGCCAAAAAACGCAAGGCCAGCGTTGGAATTCAGGTCCATTGGCAGTCGGGAGCTTTTATTTTTCCGGGATCTGTTCTTCTTGCCAAAGTCCCGGTCGAACGCTGCCGAACGGTACCCCACCCATTTGGCAATTGAAGCTATTCTTGCCACACCCGCAAAATATTCTATCACTTGGATGCCATCGCGCTGGCCCTCACCCTGCATCCACCAGACGAGTAGAACCAAGAAGACTGCGTCCTAAGCCAGGCCGTGCAAAAGGAATAAAACCATGGGCTACGCGCAGAATGCTTTGCCAAGGGACTTTCGGGACTCGTAGGCTCAACATCCGCCGAACCAAAAGCTCAAACTGATCATTATTCATGGCGGAGGAGGCTTGGTCCAAAACAGCTGTAATTATATATTCAAATGCAGCCTGTCGAGAACAACGGAAATTTGGCTTCCAGCGCGGGCGGTTTGGGGCACTGCTCGCCGGCTGCCCAATACCGAACTTGGCGAGGTTGATGCTGCCCCTGCGCAGCCCCGACATCGACCTGACGGGGAAGGCCGGGTTTGAATGGATGTTTAATTGGCAGCTTCAACTTCCCTATGCTGAATTCTGGGGGGGGGAGGGTAATGCAAAACCAAATGGCAGTTAAACATAGTTGTTAACTATAGATCAATAGAAGGGGGGTGGATTATTGAAAAAGCCCCTCAAAACTTGCACGTGCCCCGTCCCTCGCTAGGCCCAAGGGCCAACCACCAAACCTCTCTATATTTCAGTGGAAAGGTTGTTTTTTTAAGGGTGATACGAAATGCCCCCAACAGTCATTATCGCCAAGCACGGACCAGTAGCATGGCTTTCCGGGGACTACTTTCAAACTTGCAATTTTCAGGGGGCAGCGCCAACTCCCTCAAAAGCTGCGACGCCAAAGATCCCTCGACAATGAAGGACTTCCGTGGACAATGTGTTCAATCCTTGACTGCTCAGGGCTGCGTCGACCCGCTCCAAACTTGCAATTCCCCGCTCCGAACTTATAAGTTAATGTAAGAAATAGATGTCTGGAAGGGCTTTTGGGGGCAAAGCGAAATCCCCTCGGCAGTTAAAAGACAAGGGACACTTTCAAAGTTCAGGGGGGGCACCAACCCCCTCATATATTTATATATATATATATATCACCAATGCCCGCGATTGACCAAGTCCCTCGCTAGATCACTGCAGGACTGAAATTTGTGGTTTCACTTGCAGATTTCAAGGGGCAGTCCCAACTCCTTAAGAGTTCCAATTCGTCCCGCGCTAGATCTAAGGAACCCGCGACAGTGCTTTTTGAATGAAATCCCCCCCAACAGTTGAAAGGCGTTGCCAAGCATGGATCAATAGATTTGCGGGGAGCAAGTTTTAGGGGGCAGCACCAACTCTCCGTGAAGAGATGCAAGGCAGATCAATGGAATGTGCTTTTTGTTAGCGAACAGTTCCCTCAGCACGTAGTTGAAGTTGCAATTCCAGTGGGCTTTTGGTGGAAATGGTTTAAAGCGTTGCAAATTTCAGTGGGAGCAAAAACTCCTTCAAACGTTGCAACGCCCCCTCTCTCGCTAGATCGACGGACGTACTGTACGTGGCTTCTGAGGGAGGAAAAAACCACAACAGTCACGCAACGCAATTTCAACCGTAGAGAGGCTTCCGGTGGAAGAGTTGTATAAAATGTTATCAGTTTCTGGGGGAAACACAAACTCCTTCAAAAGTTGCCGGTCCCTCGGTAGATCAAATAGCATCCCGCAATCGACGCCAAACCCCTCGCTAGGTCAATGGATCCTCGCGAGGCTCTTTGAGGCCCAGCTCGGGGCCGGGGCTGTCAGCACGTTCAAAAACATTTGCAATAGTTGAAGGTGGGCATGTGGCTTCTTTCGGATCACTATCTGCAACGCACTCTTGACCCAAAAGTTGGGGAAGCCCCCCCCCCAGAAACTTGTTCACAGTATATTTCAAAAATAGATGTCAGTGCACGGCCGTGGGACAGAAAAAAATCTTCTAAGACTGCAATGTGTAAGGGTCCCGAGCTTGGCAAAGGGAGGTTGGAAACAGCAAACTATCCCCCCTCGAAAAATGAAAGAGGAGATCGCTATGGTTCAAGCAACCAAGGGTTCCCCAAGCTTAACAGAGACTCACCTTCCCCTGACCCACTCAAGCACATGCACAATTTTCCCCTTATTTCGCCAGACATGTTCCAATTGCAAGCGTGTTGTCACGCAGATTAGGCCATGTTCAGTACACATGGCGCGATGGACCCCAAGAAATAAATATAAACTAAGCCGACTCAAGCTTCTGGATGTACTCCACGGCGCACTGATCGGCCGCTTTGGTGCACTCCTCCTGGTGCGTGAGCCCCGCCTTGGCGAAACGCTCCTGGCACATCTTCCAGTAGGGCTCCTGCGGGTTGAGATTGAAGCTAGCGGGCAAACATAGTCGACCCACCAAAATGGCGGTTTTCCTTTTGATTTCCTTTTAAACCAACCAAAAAGGGGGGTCCCAAAAAAAGACAGACCCCTCTAGATTTTTAATGGTCAGTGCAGAAAGTGGAAACATGTTGTGTTTTTTGTCCCCCCCCTTCAGTCCTCATGTTTCTGAATCGCACGGCACCGCGTAGCAGCCAATTTGGGGCGGACCTTCTCTTCGAAGCAAGAGCGGATTGCAAGCCACCGTTCCTTGGAAGCGGTGGACTTCGGGCAAGGCCGCCGCGCGAACGACTTCGAGTTGGAAAGCACTGCAGGAGCTTGGGAGGCATCAGCCTTCAAGGGCCTGGCCACATCGGTTGGCGCGGCTGTCTGCTGGGTTGGGTCATTGGACGCCTCGTGCTTGTCAGGCTTTGCGCTGGTGCCCGTCTTGCTCGGCTTGGTCTGGCGACCTTTCGCGTCTTTGGGTTTGCCAGCAGCCTTGGCTTTCGCTGGCTTGCCCGCTGACTTGGCCTTGGCCGGGGCCTTGGGCGCATGGCCCTTGGTGTTTGCAGGAGGCGTCTGCAACGTGTTCTGCTCCTGCAGCAAGAGGCGTGACCGCGAGACACCGCGCCGTACTCGCTTGGCTGGCGCCTGCTCAGCTGCAGCTCTTTTGCGCTTGGTAGCGGAGCCCCTCTTGCGCTTGCGGCCATCCCCAGAAGCCTTCTTCATGTTGTACTGCTCCACGCGCTGAACCACTGGCCACCCTTCGTCTGCTTGTAGGACAGCTTCGATTAGGCAAGGCTGGCGCGGTGAGTCTGGCACAAGGTGGACATCAGGCTTGCCCTTGTCCCCTTGCTCGGCCTCGGCGTCCGCAGGGGTCACCGCCTGCAAGTCCCCGTCCACCGTTAGGTCCACGTCCTTGCTGTCCACGTTCTTGCTCTCGCCGTCGATGTAGACCGCGTCCGCCGGCTCCATGTCCACGAGGGTCACCTCTGGCAAGGGATCCGCGTGGGCTGCGTCCCCGTCGCTGTTCAGCACGCTGGTGTCGAGCGGGTCGAGGTACACATCGTCCATGGGCTCCACGTTCGTGGGCGTGTCCGCTGAGTCCACTGGGGCCACCTCCTGCGCCGTCACGTTGGTATTGGGGGGCGGCTGCGCATCCTCATCCGCCATGGCTTTGTCACCGTCCAGCTCACAAAGGGCAGCCTTCAGGGCCGCCTGCAGACCGTCGCTCCCAAACTCGCCGCCCAGCGTGGCAAGGGCCGCTTGAAGGGTCGCCTTTAAGTGCTGGCTGTCTAACTTGGAGGCCTTGTCGAAGTCGGCTTGCTTGTTGCGGTCGATGCTCAAGTCCTTGGCCGGCGCGGCGTCGTGGGCATCCAGGCCTGTCGGTGAAGCTTCGTTGAATTCGCCCAGCAACAAGGTCCTGCAGCTGTCCTCGCGCGGCAAGCTGGCAGGGGTAGGGGTTGTGCTTGGGCATCGCAAAGCTCGCGGGGATGGCGTCACCCCGACCCCCGGCTCCCATGGAAGAGTTTCCATGTTGTCTGTGACTTCGGTGCGCTGAACGGGCGCCTCGGCCATCATTCTCCTTATAGAAGGATGGTGTGCTCTGCGCAAAGCACAGAACACTGCCTACAAGTTTTTTGTAGACACAAAAAACGAAACGCTTGCCATTGCATAATGAGAAGGTTTGAAATTGGGCGAGGGGGCTGGATTGCCTGAATGCGGAGCTCCACTTCCGCCAGCAGACCATCATCATCCTCAGGCTCTTCGCCCTGCGCATCCACAGGCGTGCGTGCGGGCGCTGGGATCTCACCAGGCGGCTTGGCTTTGCTGCTGGGGCTTAGAGGCTCCGGCTCCGACTTCACTGCCGCTGGGGGATCCACCGGGATGACGTCCTCGTCATCCTCTGTGTCGTGCAGCCCTGCCAGGGCCTTGCGCAAGGAGTCCATTTCCATCTGCTGGAGCGTGGCCTCATCATCATCCTCGACCACCACGCAATCAGCACTGGGCTCTTCACTCTTGTGGAGCCGCAGCCCCCACCGGTCGAACAGTACGTCAAAGAACTGTTCCACGGCAGAATCCTCGGTCGATCACGATGGTTGCCCCTTAAATTTATATATGTATATATAACCCACTTTGTTACGTAAGCCCAATGTTGACCACCTAACACACAATGCATCAGGGGGTGTAGCCAGCGCTACTGGTCACTTGCGGAGTAATTAGCCTGCCTTTTTAAGTGGGCGTTCAGCTTCAAAGTGGGACAAACAAAACACCAAATGAGAACACCTGCTAGGTATATATATATAGTATGTGAGAGAGAAAAAGAGAGATCAACAGAGGACAGAGAGAGAGAGAGACAGACAGACAGACAGACAGACAGACAGACAGACAGACAGACAGACAGACAGACAGACAGACAGACAGACAGACAGACAGACAGACAGACAGACAGACAGAGACAGACAGACAGACAGACAGACAGACAGACAGACAGACAGACAGACAGACAGACAGACAGACAGACAGACAGACAGACAGACAGACAGACAGACAGACAGACAGACAGACAGACAGAGAGAGAGACAGAGAGAAAGAGAGAAAGAGAGAAAGAGAGAAAGAGAGAAAGAGAGAAAGAGAGAAAGAGAGAAAGAGAGAGAAAGAGAGGGAGAGAGGGAGAGGGGAGAGAGAGAGAGAGGGAGACAGAGAGAGAGAGAGAGAGAGAAATAGAGTTGGAGGGAGGGAGAATGAAAGAAAAATAGAAAATCTGTTGGCTTGAGCTTGGGAACCTTTCTCTTGACTGGACCAGTTGCCCTGCTTGCCCCGGATTTGCGGAGGCTGTAGGAGAACAATTTCTTGATGCCCCAAGCATCAACGTGAACTTTTATGGCGTCGGCTGGGAGCTGCATGTAGCCACGCAATGCCTGGACCTACCACAGGGAATCAAACGTCTGGTCCTTGCTTTGACTTGAGAATGCCGTTGATTACACTATTCGACTCAAACAAGTTTTGACTGTGCGCAAGAATCGGCTTAAATCACATGGCCTGCTTTTTGAGCATCTTCACACTGGGAGCTTTGCGCTTGGCATCGCCCGTGTTGCAATGGAACTTCGCCAAGACTGCCAACGGACGCCAGTTAACACCGACATTGGCCATGCAAGGCACCCCGATCAACTCCGGCTTTGTCCACTCCAGCAAAGCCTTTTGATCGCGGACCCTTTGTCTGATCTCTGGGTCTTCCTCCCATAAAAGGTGTAGCGGTTTCACCTCAGCTGGTGCCTTGGCAGCCATGCTGAGATTGCGGAATTCCTGAAACCAGCCCGCTTGGGAAACTTGAGCCTGCGCTACATGTGTGTCTGAGAATGGGACCCCAAGATGGATGGTTTCCTGTTTTTATTGAAGCACAAAAGACAAGGGTTTCCCGGCCGTGCGTCCGGCACTGTGTGCTATCCGATCCCCCCTGCGCGCAGGCAGGACTACGGGCGCCCGCCTTGTGGCTGGGCACGTGGGGCGGCTTGAAAGCCAGCGCGGTCAGGCGGGCCATCTGGGACACCTGCGGGGCACAAGCGCTATTCAAACCCTTCAGAAGAATTGCTCGGATTTAGAACTATGATTGCGAATTGCCGTGCAAGTTGCACAGAAGTGCATACATGGAGCCTTTTTGCTCATTGCACTGCACTCTCTGAGCCCCACGGAGCCAGGCAGGAGCACCCAATGGCGCACGTTGCCTGGGGCGATTCTTGGCGTGTCGAGAATGAAAAAAGGCTGCGAAGTGCAGGGTTGAGGCTAGGGCCCATGATTCGATGGTTAAGCTTCCTGTGTCAGCATCAAGTGCAGCATGTAGACAACACCGTGGTGTTTGTAGTTGGAGACGATACTTTGGACACAATCGTCGGCGACAGAAAAGCCCTCATCCTGGGACACATGTGGGCATTGCAAAAAGGGACCCCGGCTCCCAAACTTAAAGCAAGGCTCTTTGCGGGTGAACAGTACGTCATCCCCGAACATAAGCTGGATCGAAGTTAGCCAGAATGAGTTCGGCATATCTTCCAGGCCTGGGCGTGTGATTCGGGGGCCAACTTGAACCAACTGCCATCACAAAGGCAATCCAGAAATAACAGGCCTGCATCTTCGATTTGCAGCAGTGCCATACGGCTGCAGCAGGCTAGCACTTGGCATGTCATGATGGGGCAACCCTCTGACCTGGCCATTTGATCAGCTAGCTGGCTGCAGCAAAAAAATCGCGACACCGTAAGCTGCCAGTAACACACAAGCCACGCATACAGGCAGTGCAAGGTGGAGCGCGCCTGGAAAAACACGACCATCCACTGCCCGAGTACGCGGAAACCAAGTGGAGCCACACAAATGGCTCGGAGTGCTCATGTTGCACAAAACCGCCCCCCGACCAAAAAAAACGACCCCCGAAAAAAAAACACAGTTTTCATCTCGGGGGCAAAAAAAACACACACTGCGGAAGTCATAGGAAGATGGGTAACTCTAAACCCAACAGCCGCCAGGTGACGCTCGCGTTTTTTGCTTGTCAAATTTCGGTCCCTTTTTGTGGGTCCCGTTTTGACCCGGCGATCCTGGTGGCACCCGGGTCCAAGAAGGGGCCATATGTTAGACGCCATGCCAGGAGGAGGCGCAGCGTGAGGTGCTGGCCGGGCAACCACGGCAAGGCGCGAACGGTGGCAGCGGGCGACAACTGCAAGTTGTGACCTGGGTGTGGCTCCAAATTAAAGAGCTTGGGTTACGCAGGTTTTACACTTTGGTTCCATTTACCCAGGTGCCATTTGCCAGCGAGTCAACCGCGAGCGCGTTGCTCGCCAGCCGAGCGAAAGCTTGCTGCGCAGGCTCCCCCATGCAGCAGGCGCTTCACAGGGAGAAGGACCGATGTGCCATAGGGTCTCTTTCAGAGGAGAACATCTTATATTTTTTCCTGGGGTCCTAATTCCAGCCAAGACTTCCCGAATTCAGGTGTAGAGACCCTCACTCGGGCAATCCTTAGTTGAGCCACAATCAAAACGCAGGGAGATAAAAGTCAGCAAGGAAAAAGACTCAGCCATAGATGGGTGCGCGGCCGTTTAGAGTCTGACCATTTGAATACCAGGTATTGATTACGACTTAGATGGTTTGCAATTGTTGGGAACTGGATTTGGATTTGATGGTTCCAGAGGATAAATGGGAAACCACCCAACCTGCAGACCACCAAACCACCGCCGGGCTCGGACACAGGTGTTTTGCACATGACATGCCCAACCCCTGGCAAAGTGGGCTTAAAAGTTAACAAAGTGTTCTAACTAAGAGCGGAAACTTAGAGACTAGTGGTCCGCTCTTAGTTCCTTTTTTTCCGCTCTTATTTGGCGCTCTCAAAGTCAACAAGGATTGCTTAACCACCAATCCACCACTCCGCAAATTCGAAGGTAACTGACCGAGACTCGCCCTTAGGAGGTGCTGTCTTCCTGGCCCTGCTGGCAGCTCCAGTCTCAAGCCGCGGAGACGGCGGGCTTCGGAGACGGCGCCCGAAAGAAGGCTCAGGCGGAGGCTGGAGACGTGTTCCGAACCCCAGGTGCCCGTCTTAGTTTTGGGTGTTTCCCTCTAAAGTGAACCGCCAAGAACGAGTGCGCGGGCCCTTCTGCTTTGTGTCTCCCATTGAGTCAAGATAGTCAAGGCTCTCATAATTTGGGGTGCCAGGGGCTCCTGATGAATCACTGTTTGGCAGAGAGACTCGCTTACACATCGGGGGCGTTGCAGGGTTCCAAAATCGACCCTTCAAACGCTGTGGCTCAAAATTTAAGAGCCACGGGACCACAGGTGTTAGTCGGTGTACTTTTGTATTTGCCGGGGTTCGATTTTGGAGCCATATCCACAAGACATGAGAGGCATAGGATGTCTAGAGAAACCCATGAAATTGGGCAGGTTGAACAGAAGCATGGAATGCTAAGTCCTTTTGGAGTGGGTCTGTGCAAGTCCGGGCATATAGTCGGAAAAATGTAATTCCTTTTCCCTCGACGCTTGAAGAGAACCGAAGGCAGAATGTGCGGCTCGTCTTTATGTTGGGGAACCCCGTTTTAGTTGGCAGGGGGAAACCGAAAGGAAAACCAATCCATTTTGGGGGTCTCTAAAAAGAGTGACACCCTTATAGTACAGCAGAAGCATGGCACCTGTTCAACGTCAGCCTTCTGCAAAGCTTGTGGCGCAATGGTGGCTGGAGAAGCACGGCAGTGACACGCAGAAATGATATGTGGAGAAGTGCCGCAAGCTGAACCGCGCGATGGCGGAGCCGCCAGGGAGGCCAAGTGGCGATGCAACGCCCTGAGGAGGACTACAATTTGAAGGAGCAAAACGAGGCCTTGGAAGAGTACACTTTGGCAGTCCTGGGCCACATGGAATCGAAGGACATTGACCCAAGTCATGGACCTTGGCTATGTGACCCGTCACGCCGTCTTTCAGTTCTTCGCACCCCACCAATTCGTGTGGGTGTGGTCATTTAGCTTGGAACCTCCATGTGAGGGTGTTACTTGTAAAAGAAGGTTCTGATCAATGATGATTTCAATTTGGAACACCCATGTGGTCGGTGGACACGAATCCCCCACCTAAAACATGTCCACCAAGAAGTTCCCAATCAAACCACATGCCCAGTCATGAGTGTCACCCAGCCACCCACCCACCTATAGCCACAATTCCTAGATTTCCCTCACATCAAGCCACGAGTGGACGTGGATAGTTTCATGCTTCTCTTAATGTGTGGGAAGCCCAGCCATACTGGTAGCGTATGAGTAGAGGGGAAATCACAGGATGGCCAAGGAGGGGAGAGCTGCACTGCCTGAATGGGTTTGCTGGTGTTAGCACAACTGCAACCAGATTAAGTCATGTGTGAGTGTGTTTTTTTTGGGTGAGTGGGCATATAGGGCTGCCCCCACAAAGAAAGCAGTCTTCCAAACCCCTTTTGTCAGCCCAACTAATTCTGGCGGGCATCCAATTTTGGCAGCCCATGAGCACAGGGTCTAGTGGCTTTTGCTGACAGGACTTCCAGCTGACGGTCCAGCCGCACGAGGCTCGGGAAAGATCCGTGAACCCGTGGAGAATCTCACGTGCCCCAAGCTCCGTCAATCCATGCCCCGACCTTGTGACCTAGGTTCCCCGTTTTGGTGTTCGTTTTGAGCCATGGCCACTTTTTTTTGGGGGGGTTCTTTGGGCAACTGAGTACTTGTTTGAAAAACATAAAACCCAACCACCAGACGCCAATGACAAGGGCGAGCTCAATTCGAGGGTAACACGAGCCAATGCCACGATGGGCCCTTTCTTGGGGGCGAGACCTGAAGCCAGGTTTTGCTTGTAGAAGTTGCCGATGTGAGACGTTCGGGCCTAAACTTACACTTCCGATGTGCAACCTGAGGATTGCTCTAAGGCAACTTTCCTTTCAATCTGGCCAGGTTAGTTGGTGGGAAGGTATTCCAAGGATTCTATTCAGACCCCCGCCCCTAAATCAACGAACAAAGGCAATGACATGTGGTTTGCCAGGTTTAGCAAGTGCAGCGGGAGGTCGGCCGCGAACAAAGCGTCGGGGGTGAGCCAATCGGCCAAACAGTTCCCCACCGTTCCGCCGCTGTTGGTTCGTTCTTGGAGCTGGGTAGTTTAGCCACGAACATTTGCTGACTTGCCCAAAAACCGTGAAGTGTTGTGATACTAACATGGAGGGGGGGTGTTTCCCCATACGCGTTATTGATTTGTGGATGCAGGGGAGGATGCTGTACCGAGGTTTTTTGGCCCGGAGGCAATGCTGTCCCAGTTGGGGTTCGGTATGGGTCGTTGGGGAATCTTTGGACTTGTAGTGAGGCAGGTCCTTGTTGATTCCTTGTTGTAATTTGACGTGTCAAGATAGGGGGAACATTGTGGTTTTGCTTTTGATGTCCCTTCAGACCAAGCACAAGAAGGGTACCCAACCACCACCCGATATGCGTATGTATAGAACTATGTATACAAGTTTATACTCAGCATGTTATATATATATATATACAGGCACGTCTGCATTCACCCCACGCGCCACACCGATGGTTCAGGCGAGCGAGCAAACCGAGAGGGAGGCACGGCTCCAGAAATCGTGAACGCATCAGCGGGATCCTGCCATGTCAAGCCACCCAGTTGAATCCAGATGTATTTCAAAAGTGCCCTGGTTTCAGTCCTTGTGGGGATAACTTACCCCAAAAATGGATCCCTGGGTTTGTGCCTTCACTTCACTTTCATGGCATGTAGTTATTTTTTTGTTTGTCCCTTCCGGAGTTCCCGGACTTGATGCTTGAAGAAAACAAACAGTTTGGACTCGTTTTTTGGCAACCTTTCCCGGAAGCAAGCTAAGTTGCAGCAAAGAACGTTGTTTTCCCAACAAAGTGTTGTAGTTTCCCTTCTAAAAGTTTCCTCTCCACTTTTACGGAGCCATTCATTGAATCATCTTATGATGTTGGGTCTGAGTTGCAATGGTTGCAGTTGAGCGTTGTCAAGTGCAAGGTCGGTTTGTGGCCTTTGGGGATTGAGCGTCGACCAAGTTTGGTACCCGATCCGTGCCCCCCTCTATGCCGGCAGCATCAGTACTGTGTAAATATAGGTTAGATTGCTTTTTGAGCCCCCACTGGACCTCCTTAATAAGGCCATGTTGTTTATGATTTTCAAACATGGTTGCAATTGAGAGCAGCGGAATTGCCGGCCGCTGCTTGCATGCCGTGTTTGTACAGGGCACCATTGGTTGTCCAATTTGCGGTGAGCAGGCGAGCGCCCCTGCAGCTATTGTGCCCAGGATATGTTGAAGGACATCGCTTTCTGGGTATATTTGTGCTTGTCTTTGCCAAACTTGATCACCCAACAAAGGGCGAAGTCGGTACTTTTTGTACACCATGATTATGACATTTGTTCTTTTGTCGTTGAATGTCGTTGACACGTTCGGCAAGGCTAAGAATCTAGGGCCCACAACTCCCACCCCTTCAAGTTTCCGCCTCGTTACCTCCTGGTTTCCTCCAATTTTCCATGTTGCCCGATGGAGAGTTGTTCCTCGTTCGGCAGGACGCTTCCATCGGCATCTCGGTCGGCAAATCGGGACGCAGCGGGTGCTCACTTGCAGACCAAAAGAATCGACATTGACCTTTTGGCTTTCCATGGCTAGGGCATTTTTGTCGTAGGTCAAACTTGAAATAAGTCATCCCCCCAAAACACAGGCACTTTCATGAGGTCGCCCATCCCCTCCAAAAGGCTGCTAGGAACACATCGACCACCTTACCGTGGACCGTTGCCTTCGCTGGACGTCATTTTCTGTTGAGGCAACCTGGGTGATATGTGTTTGAAAAGCCTGGTCCTTTGGTGATGCTTCGTGTTTGTTGGCGCATTTTGGTCCAGGTCACGTCACCTGAACAGATTAACCCACCCAGATACATGGAGCTGGAGGCCCTAAAACCATGTCAGGATCCTTCTGACAGCTTTCCTGCACACAGCGGAATCTGAAAACCGTTGGAGGAATCCCCTTTTGGAGGGACCTCACTGGGTTTCGGGGAGGGAGGGTAGCCTTTTAGGTCCGAAGGTCCGAAGGCCGAAGGAAGGACCAGGTCCCTCAAGCGTGCCGATTTTCGTGCGGATCATGAAACTCGATGGTTTCACTACCAAAACCACTACCACCAGATTACAAGGAAAGGGTATGCGGCCACCATTATATAGCCACTGTATGAAGGGCATATGTCCCGGTTTTTTTGTTGTTGGGGGCAGGGTACTGAGAGAACGTCGAATGGTTTGACCCTACCTAACCCCCCCTTGGGAAGACGTTGACCCTCATAAACAGCAAACAACATGTATGCCATGATCTGTCCATTGGTGCCGACGTGCACCCTGCAACTTTCCACGTGTTTGTTTTCCACGGGGGGTCCGTTTGAAACCAGCCTTGGAATTCAAAATGGGTTGTTTTCAAGGGCCCCTTGCTGGGTCCGGTTTCTTCATTGGAGGGTCAGTCGGGGTCATTCGCCTTAGGACAAGAATGTGATGACCAGGTCTTCCTGGGTGTCATCCGTTTCCGTCGTTTCCGAGGATTGCTGCGGGTGCAGTACAAGGTGAATCGGATGTACTCGCCCAAGATCTTCCGGAGGCCGGGGCCTTGTTTTTTGTTTGGGTCGGGAGGCGAGGAGTGGTTAGGCCAAATATTGTAACGGGGCTGGCCGCCATTAACGGGAAACCTAAAGGCGCCTTTGTTTGAGGCAATGTTGGCTTTTGCGGTTGAAATTCAGGGAGGCGCCCCTGTTAGTTTCCGTTGCCTTGTTGAGTTAAGACCCTTTGGACGCAGCGTCTGAGAGAGAGAGACAGAGACAGAGACAGAGACAGAGACAGAGAGAGAGAGAGAGAGACACAGAGACAGAGAGAGAAAGAGAGACAGAGAGACAGAGAGGCAGAGAGAGAGAGAGAGAGAGAGAGAGAGAGCAGAGAGAGAGAGAGAGAGAGAGAGAGAGAGAGAGAGAGAGAGAGAGAGAGAGAGAGAGAGAGAGCGAGAGAGAGAGAGAGAGAGGGGAGGGAGAGAGGGACAGAGAGAGAGAGATGGAGAGCGAGAAAGAGAGAGAGAGAGAGAGAGACCCTGTTAGTTTGTGTGGGCCTTGATGTGAATGCGTGACTAGCTCCCCACCCCGCCCCCAAACATGGGTGGGCTGGGCCAAATGTGGAGCACAACCAGTGGGCGGTGCGGCTTGGCGTGCCTTCAGGGGCCAGCCTTTTCGACCGGAATCGTTGCTTAGGAAGGGGGGAGGGGTTGTCGATTTGTTTGAGGGTTGCAACCGAGGTTACCAGCTACTGCTTGTCACAACACCAACTGTTGGGGGTTGTCTTCTCAGGGCTTCTTAAATGATAGCTGTTGAAACATCATTTATTTTGCCAGGCCAAAATAACGAGTTTGATGTTATGTTCTTTTCTCTTTTTTCCTTCTGTTTTTTGTTTGGGGGGAGGGCCGGGTTGCGGCCAGATAGGCAATCAGAAACCCTGCCTGGCCCCCACAATTAAGGAACACATTCATCAAACTTTCAAACAGCATCTGTTTCAACATGACTGACCCCGATCCAAATTCGATCAGAAGCCAAGACTCAAGAGGAAAGCCTAGAAAGATGGAAGCCGTTCCTTGCTCTCGAAGGCATGACTGGGAGGAGGCGAGCTTCCTCCAAAAGGGGGTCCGGGATAGTGGGTTCCACGTTTGTGGGCGATGGGGAAATTCGAATGGGATAGTGGGGTACCAAAAACTCAAGTTAGTCCTGACAGCGGAAGTATACCAGAAGTCGCCAGGGGCTGCACCTTGCAAGAGGTGAAGGATGCGCTGGCCACTCTGCGCACCACGCCGCCCCAGGAGCTGAGTCTTTGGCCTGGCCCCCGATGGGGTTCCCCCAGTGAGGAGAGGCGACTCAGCCAATTCCCCCTTTGGGGTTTGATCCAATTGGGTGGATTTTTCGGAGGGTGTCCCTGTTTTATTTATTTATTGTTTAAAGGAAACCGCAGGGACAACAACCGTTTTGAGGGTCCCCCTCCCCCAAAAAACAAACACGCCGCCCACATGGTCAAAATCTGCGCGGACATGGGGGACTCTTGAACCTCTTAATTTTCCCAAAAACAAGTGTGGCGTCTAACCAGGACCCTTGTATCTTGTGGCGTCTCTTGGTCGCATTGGCGAAGCCTTTCATCCATATGCGAGTGTTTTTGTTTTTCAGGCTATCCTTTTTGGGGCTGATTGTTTGAGTGGAACTTTTTAGGGGATCCTTCCATGTTTACACACCATTTTCTGGTGTCTCCTTTAGGGCGGACTAAAAACAATTGCCAGAGTCAGGCAAGATCTCATTATCGTTTTTGGTGGCCAATAGATTCTCGTTTTCGCTCACCCAAGTTCCGACATTAGACCCATTTTAATTGTATACGGAAGGTTTGGGCTTTGTCCGCCATGTTTAGACCACCCTCCGTAGGCTGGACCACTTTGAGCGCGCCTGGTTCGAGGAGTTCCAGGCCATGGACAAGGAGCTTAGGGGCCAGGGGTCATGTTATGACGGTTTTCTGTGTGGTTTTGACAGGTTCTGATGGGTTGTCTGGTGGTGGTTGGCGGTCAAAGTCGGAACCTGGGGAGTGATTCCGGTTGCCCCTGAAGCGGTTTGGATTGGTGAGAACTAGGGGTTTGAACCCCTGGTGACCCCGGAACACTTCCGAACCACCAATCCTGATAGTTCGGCTGGTTTTACAAGACAAAAAGGACAACCAGCATTGGGGTTTCAAAAGGGGCACGCCCATTTCCTGGTTGGTCAGAAGGGAGTTGCCATGGGAACCCAAAACTAATCTATTTTGTTGGTCCCATGTTAGGCCTTTCTTGGCTTTCTGCCTCCCGACACGGGGTTAAGCCGAAACAAGAGATGGCTCTTATGGTATGATGCGTGCCGCGTAAGGGATGCCCCCTGCCTAGGCCACAGGGGATGGCTCGGGGTCCATTTTTCTTAGTCTTAGATGGTTTGTATTAAACTAGGGGTCCCCAAAAGAAGTGGGTTCGTGGTGGTTTCTCTTTAAGCCACACCCAAAAAGGATTCCCTCAAGAGGCACAACCCGATGTTTCGTGGTTGTTCTTGGGTATGTATTCCGCTTTCTTTCAGTTCCTGGTAGTGGCTTGTTCTTAGGAGGAAAGGGATGACCCACTGAAGCATAATTTGTGGTTTCCTTCAAGGGGATCCCCTGCCGGTTCTTTCCCGAACCCCAAGTTTCATGACCTACGGAGAACGAGCAAGTTTAGATACTCCGTTCCACCGATTCTTGGGCACTCGTCGAGGCCTTTTCCAGGTGAATTGTTTTAGGGTTGCGGGGTGCCAGATATCATATTATTCACGCATACCCTCACGTGCCCCTTACATACATTTGGGTGTGTCTTTCTTCGAGATTGGGTGGTTTGCAGGGAAACCAAGTGGCAAGCCATTTTTTGCAGGGTCTCCAACAAATCAACCCATATACCATACATCCATAAGTCCGTTCTTGCCCCAGTTCAAAGGTCCCTGTGCTTGGAACAGGGGGCGGGGGGGTTTTGCCATGCCAAACTTGGCCCGAGGAGTTGCATCTGCTGGCGGGTACTCGCTTGGAAAGAGGTGCCCATGGGCGCGGCGATGTCGCGATTTCGGTTTCGATGCTCAGCTAGGCCCCCCAGCATCCCCCAGCTAGGTGCCCTTCTCTCCCCTTTTTTGGTTGGAAGGATTCCCCTACTAAAATAGACTACAGAAAAAAGTGGGTACCCAAATTCCAACCTCTCTACTGGTGGAGGGAGGTTTCAAGATGGGTTTGTGGGGTCCGGGTGTTCTTGTTCCAATCTTCGCGCCGTCGTCCCTTTGATTTGCTCCAGACATCGCCGTGGCCCAGGCCTCCAAGAACATAACATGGAAGCAAAACCTTCCTACAAAACCATCCATGCAAATCAGTTTGGGAACATGAGAAACATGAATTCTTCCCTACACTCCGCGGAGAGTTGCCAAATCCCCAGCCTGGATATGTCAGCAACATGCCATCATTGCTGCACGCTTGCAACATGTCATCATTTTAGGGCCGCCACCGGGGTGCAGTTGAGTTGTGAGTTTGGTTTCGTTGTCGGGCCTCAGTCAGAGCAAAAAGGGCATACATAAAAATAAAGACAGCCAGACTTTGCCAACCGCAGAGAGCGCCAAGTTGACGCGCGCTTTCTGACGGCTTTCCGCAGTTCTCCCGCTATTTTTGATCAACCTTCTATGTGTGGCTCTCGAATGCTGTGTATGGCAATTAGATCCTGGTTGGAGAACCATTCTAAGACTTGCACGGTTCATAAGACGGGGGGCTTCTCCTCAACATGTTAAGGTTAGACCACCAGTTCGTGACTATATCCCTTTTGCCCCTTGGCTCGAGTAAGCGTCAGATTCAGGGCCTCGTATTAACTTGCAGGGGGGGAACTTGCCCGAAGGGAAATAGTGGTTAACCTTTTGGGAACCTCACCAAAAGTAGACGAAATTGGGAATCCAAAAGCTTGAAAGGTGGGCTTTGGACAAGTATATGAAAGGTTAGCCTTTTCGCATGATTTAGAACGGACAAATAGGGAACACCAGATTTCATGAGCAAACCCACCTTCCCTATTGCTTAAAGGGAGCCTATCACCACTGGAAATAGCTAGAGTTTTCCTCGGGACTTAAGACAATGGAAGTGTTCATGTGCTGCTGTGAGGAGAGCAGATTAGCTCCAGCGAGATCGTGGAGAGGCGGGCAAGCCAGTCGGAGAGGATACTTTTCATGTGTTGCAGACTTGCAAGACGACTATGAATGTAGGCGGGTTCACCTGGAATCAAACGAGCTCACCCGTCTTATTTCTTGGACAGCCCAAAGTTGTTGGATGATTTGCAACATGTGAGTATAAATGTAATTGACCTAATTTACACATGTCTACATCATATGCCTATATATAGCATCATACAGACCAACATGCACACTTACATTGCGATCTGTCTTTTTGTAGGGGCTCGTGCGCGGTCATATGTAGGTTATTCACGCTGTTGGATGCACGTTGATGCGTCCAACTTTCATTTCAGGGTATGTGTTTTGTTTGTGGGTAGGTACCCTTTTTGGGTGTTGGGCACTGCTCATGTGTGGGTTGGAACAGCAGTTCCAGGAATTGGGACACTGACCCCATGGCTATTGTGGTTGGAGAGTTGAGGGAAACATACCAAGGTGGTCAAGGGTCCAGGAGCCGAATATCCCCCGGCCCCCCCGCCTCCCCCCCCGGTTGCCCGTTTTGTTGGTGGGTTCCCTTGGTAATCAAAATGCTCAGCTTTCTCCCTTTGACGTGAGCCGAATCGGCCCATTGGTTGCAACTCGCCAGGACGACCAACCACAAGGATGTGCTGCTCGGCGTTTCGCGAAACTCCGGGGGGCGAAGGGAGGTGGGTTGATGAGGAGTCGCTTGCAGTCTCAAGGAGAAATGTTATTTGAACTATGTCATTGAAGTCGAGTTGTTTTCATGAAGCATGAATGCATCATTCTCATTTGCAGGTGAGGTGGAATCGATCGGCTGATGGTTTGGCTGTTCGGATGATCCGCCGTCGCCAGCGCGCTGCACCCGTTTGCGCGCGTTGATAATGAAGCCGAGAACATAGGGTACCCTCCCACCAACTAACATGGAAGTGCAAAAAGGCCTTTTCCAAGAGGCGAGTAGTCCTTTCTACAGGGGTTTGTGCACTTCCATGGAGTCGCTGGTGGGAGGGTACTGTCTTGTTTTTTGTTCCTCACCCGACAGGTTTTGCGGCTAGATTTTAAGTGACGTCCGACCGCCGACCGCACGCCCGCCGGCCCACTGACCGCTTGTGAGCGTGTACGTATTTCCTTCCTTGCTTAGCAGCTAGAGGCTCATGATCGTGAGGGGAAGTGTAAGAAGATGCAGCAAAAGCTAAGAATCTCTGAGGCATGCCGCTGAGCGAAAAATATAGAGCCCAATGTTGTGATCTTTGGTCGGGTTGTAGGCCCCTCGAATCAAACAGAGCTGATATTGAGAGGTGCGTGTGTTGGGATGGAAATCAATAGTCTTTACGGGGAGAGTGCGAGAGTGTGGGGTTCAGTGGACATTTGTTGAATTCAACTGATGTATTTGCAGTGTTTCAAGTGCATCCTATGCTCCCTTTTTTGCTGCTGACTGTGCTAGCGGCTAGTTTGCGTTCCACTCCACAACTTGCACGATTCTCGGCTTGGCGCTGTTTCGGAAGACTTGTGTCAAGGGAAGAAACTCGGGCTCAGACCAAACAGACATGGTCCCATTTTTTGTCATCACCATCCGGCCCAAAAAAACATCCGAGGCTGGAGCAAGAGGAGCAGGACATCCGCATTTGCTTGAAGTGGGCCACTTGGCCACCAAGTGGTTGCTCACAGCCTATGGGTGTGCGTGTGTTCTTCTTATTTTTTTGGCGCGGGGGTGGGTTTCAGAGCACTCACCTTTCTCTAGTGGCCCTCAGTGGTTCCCCTGGCAAACCCGGGTCATACTTGGGTTTGTTGTCTCATTTGATAGGCCGGACCGCAAAAAGACAGGTCTGAGGTGTTTGTTGGGGCGAGCTTAAACCCCGTATGGGTTTGAGGGGCCAAAAGGAACTTTGGGCCTGTGTCGTGGGCTCATGAAACAAACCTTCCGTTTGCTCAGGATGTGTCATTCCTCCCCAGGTTTTAAAGGGAATCTATCACTGGATGTTTGCTCAATTTGTTGGGAACGTACTCCCAAACATAGGTATCCTTTTCGCTTGTTTTGGTAGAAAAATAGATGGCCCTGGTTTACCTGGCGGTTCAATCATCCACCAGGGCCATCTATTCCCCTAAAAAGACACCTATGTGCTGAAGGCTCACATTCCCAGACAATCCACGGATTTTTGCTGGATTTTTGCTTAATTTCTTTCAGGGGGCGTGCTCCCAAATGAATCCAAATCCCGTGAGGTGCGCTTCTTGTTGCACTACTACTGCGGCGGCATCAACGTCATGAGCCTCACCGACGTGATGAGAGTGCGACTTACAAGGCGCCCACCACAGCCATCGGCGCCTTCTGTGTACTTGTGTAATGACGTATGGCCATGGGTCCTTGTTTCCTTGACTTCCCCTTTCAAGAAGCGAGTCCACCGGGTTGTATCTCCAAATTTCAAGGTTTTTTGAGATGAGGCCATGGGTCAAGAGCCAAATCGTACCTCCAGTGAACATCCCAATCCCCACTAAAATAGACTAAGATGGGTGGTGCACACCCCAAAATGGTACCATTGGTTTCGACCCACAGCCATATGTGTGTTGTAACATCTTTGTTCCATGTTTTATTGTTAATATAAGTGGTTGTATTGCGAGGCGTTTTCAAAACTACTTGTTTTTGTTTTGTTTGTTTTCTGTTTGGGGGGGGAATCCTGCAAGACTATTTAGAAGGTGATTTTGAGGGTGTCATTTGTACAGCCCCATTTTGGTTTGGCCTACGCACGTTGCAATCCCCCAGGTCGTGGGAAAAGTCGGCTTGGTGGCCAGTTGCCAAGCCTCCTGTTGAAAATTGTGTTGCAGTAAATTAGATTGGTTGTCTCAGTTGCCCAAAGCCGACCTTTTGGCCTATTTTGACACAACGCCAATCTAGCACCGCACTTTTGCAACCAACCTGTTTTCACACCATCCAAATATACCCACATTGCTTGCGCGGTCTCGTGTGTCAGGGAAAGCCGGCGCTCGATGCTCGAGGCGGGTGCGGGTGCGTCGTAGCTGTGGTCAATACAAGCCGCGGTTGTGGATAACGTATGAAAATGTGGTTTTCGTGCCACTTTCTGCGATACTCAAGGCCACCCTGTTAACATAGTAAACTAGTCATGGGGATGGTCCACGTTGCTATCACAGAAAGGGTGACCACAGAAGGGAGGGGTTTGGAAGACCATGTTCCTTCCGGGGAAGGCCCCATGTTCTTCATTGTGTTGAAGTAGGTTGCATTGGGTGGCCCTCTTGGCGAGACAGTTTTTTGTTTTTTCGTCTAAGATGGGACTTCCCAAATCAACAATCAATGGGGTACTAATCCTTGGTTCGCACTCACTGGGAGTGTAGATACTCAACGCCGTAAATTAGGCCCTTCCCGAATTGTAGGGTTTTTAGGTTTGGGCGGCTGTAAGCCAAACCTGAAGACCTTGCCTTTCGATTTGTGGAGTGTATTTTGCGAAGTGGGTGTTCACGTGCACTGCATTTACCGTCATGAGGCACAATGGATGTTTACTCTTCTTGGCATTTCGTTGCTGCTTTCAAAGTGTTTTGGAAATTTACAGTCCCCTTGGTCATTGTCTTGTTTGTGTGTGTGATAAAGTTGGCATCCATTCCCTTTTGCCCATCCTTGAGAGGAAGCCAAACCACTAGTTTACCAATCCTAATTCTTAGTCGATTCCTTCAAACAATTCAGAGACATGAACGGATTCAGGATTGCCTGCGAACGGCTCTTCAATAGATATACAGTATGGCGCTTTTTCAGTGGCATTGTCGAATCAAGATCCTTTGGACCCACCTTCCGAGAGTGCGGGGCTTCCGAGAGCGCGGGAGGGAGAGAATCTCCAGAGGGAAATTGAACTGGGTATGGGTCAAAAGTAAACCACCAGGAATTGGACCGCAGGCTGGCAGGTTGTAGTCCTTTCCATTTGCCCGGGCAAGCCATATTGGGGTTACCCGATGTTTGACCACCCCTTCCAAATAAAAGCAAAAGAAGCGAGAAGCTGCTGCCTGCGGGTTGCCCACCCCCGGATCCGAAGCGCTAGATGACAGCGGATCCGGAGTTCAGCGACGAGGAAAGCCAGGCGCAGCGTGCTTCGTCCTGTGCCATGTCCCATAGGCGTCCTGTTTGGGGATAGTTCGCTGAAACATAGATGGCCCTTTGGGTTGATGCTACCTATCATGTGTCCAGCGCCATGTGTATCTCACTTCCGTTCCCGGGCGGCGGTCGATGATCTTTTCTTCGCAGTCTGGTGGTTTGGTGGGTCGTGGGGTTGCTGTGGTCACGCCGCGCCCTGGGCTGGGCCACAGTAATCCGCACAAACAAGAGGTGCTGGCCAACATCAAGCACTGTTTTGCCACTCAGGAAGTGAGTTATTGGCTTTCCACTTGCTGCTTGGTTTCCTGTTTTTTTGTGTTTTTTTTGTGTGTTTGAGGGGGCGACTCGTCCGAGAGCCCATGTTGGAACAAGCCTCGGATCCGCCAGTGGCGGCTTCCTTGGCTTCGAGAGGCCGAGCCAGTGGACGCTGCCGCCTGGGAGCGTGTGGATCAAGGCTGGGCGGAAAAAAAGTATCGGCATGCGCCCGTGCGAAATTGGAAGTTCCTCCATTCCCCGTTTGGAACCTCAAGTCGCAGGTTGAATGGACACCACCAGTAAATTGATCAACGTTCGAAACGGAAATCCAGTTTTGTAAATCGCAGAGACCCTCTGGGAAACAATCATGGAAGTGGAACAGGGGCACCAACAGGAAAGCTTCCAAGGTCGTCAGTTTCCATGGTGGGGAGGGTAAGCCATTGGACGGGTGCTACATTGCCAATAGCTTTTCTCATTGTGAAGCCCTCAGGCGGTGTGAAGCCCTCAGGCGGCATTTGCGAAATTCAAGCCCCTGCTGCATGACAGCGGTAAACCCTTGCTTTGCTTGGCGCCTTTATAAAAGGCCGAAGGTTCCGATGGGATTCCTTGGGGTTGCATCTTGCTTCAAGACACCAGATTCCCATGTTTACTAAGAGCATCCAACCAGAACCCTCCATCTTACACGGCTGCATATGTTCTGATCGCAAGGGTTGCCCCTTCGAAACTCACCTTGTGGCAAAGTGGGTTGGCCAAAGCAAGTAGCCAAGCGAAGTTGTAAAATTGTGGTGCCCTCAAAAAGGGGTGGTTTCCCAACCAAAAGGGGCTCCGCTGGTCCACCATTTTGAAAACCCCCGCTCTTAAAAGGATATCCTGAACAGGATTTGGTTTGGTCCTGTGGTGTTCCTTTCTACAGCAGCTTTTTCTTGGGAAAATATCATAGTTTTGGAAAATCACACTTTGTGTGATTCAGTGATACTAAAATGGCTTTAATAGGGGGAGACTTTGGCATGGGTCAACTTTGGCTATGGCAACTCAAGATGCAAGTGCAGTGAGCAGTGATGCTGACCCCCGCGGTTTTCTCTGAGCTGATCTTTTGAATTTTTAAATGAGCAAAACTCAAAACTCGGGTAGATGAAGGTTAGTAAGGGAGAATCCCAGCTATAAATAGCTGCGGCCGCCTTCTTAATTCTTTACATGGTTCTGGGATAGCGACCATATCTCTACCGGGTTTTGAGCAAGTGACTCAAAGAGCACTCATGAACGCTAGGGCACGTTGGTGTTCCCAGGCCTGGAGGCAGCGCTGGCGGCGGGGCTACAGCTGGAGCCAGATGACGACGCGCTGATGCGCCTGGAGCGAGGACCAATGAACTGCGAGGGCCTGGGCGCGTGGAATTTGTTTACACCAAAACCAAGCGGCTTGCTTGGTTTTAAGGAGAAACCCGTGGCAAAACCAGGTTCAGTTTCACAAACCCAGCTTCCTACAGTAGGCGAAAGTAGATGGCGCGAATTTTCTGGCTTTGGTTTCGTCACCCTCTTCCAGTTGCCCAGGAGGTGCCATTTTCCTTGGGGAACACCTGGCGCCCCTTTGTGCGATGGCCGCTCGGCTTCTGAGAAGTTGATGTAGGATGACTTCAAGCATTCAACATGAGAAAGGCAAGCAAGAAGCAAAGGCCAAGGAGTTGGTGAGGTTGCCGAAGAATTTCTAGAGCTTTTGACTTGAGACATGCTCCTCCGGGTTGCCGAAGAATGCCGCAGCCTAGTTTTGACTTGCGACATGCTCGGGTCGCCGCCACTTGGCTTTCAGGGACCTGCAGGCCTGTCGGCTTGCAAGGGAGTACGCCAGCAGGTGGGGTGCAAATGCACTTAAGGCTTGGCCAGCCCGCGTACTTCTTTTGGTTCGATGGGCTCAACTGAGTTGCCCAAGGTGAATTCATTCGTTTACCTGTGCTGGCCACCGAAGTCAGCCAAACAACCAAGCAACAAGCCAGCCAGCCAGCCAGCCAGCCAGCCAGCCAGCCAGCCAGCCTACCTACATACCTACCTACCTACCTACCTACCAACAACCAAACACACAGCAACAAGTAACACACACACACACAGACACACACCAATCAGCCAGCTAACCAGCCAAACAACCTACACACATACACATATCTGGGTGATCTGGATTTTTCCTCATCTACCGGGGCCATCTATTTTCCCGAAAGGAAACCTACTGTGGATGGACGACACCCTGCTCCACTTTGAAACCATGAGAAACCACTGTTTGTTGGTGTTTGCAGTTTAATCATCATTTCACGGTTTCTTTGGCAGGATTTCGTCCATCCACAATATCTGCAGCTTTTCCTGGGCCCCACGTTCCTTCGTTCCCGCGACCGCCTGGCGCGATCCGCGCGCTTTCCGCGCCAAAGCCATGCGGGCGGCCATGGCGCTGGGTGTGCTGCTGCCTTCTGCGTTGGCAGCGTGCCAGGAGCTGCCCCAAATGAAAAACGCCGGCACCACCCTTCGCTGATTATGGTGCCCCTAATATTTGTGTCTCAAATTATTGGGGCACCAGATTATAGAGCACCTGGGAGCCCCAAGGCAATTTCTTCAACTTGGATGATGTTTGATCCCTGACCTGTCTGAATGACATCTAGGTCCCCGTTATGCCCTTTCTCACCCCTGGTTTGGAGGGGAGGGTTCCCCTACTAAAATAGACAACAGAAAAACGGGCACCCTTACTCTAACCTCTCTACTGGAGGACCTAGCATTTGTGCCATGGTCAAAGCTCTTGTGAATACGGATGAAAGGCATACGTACCTCATGCGCGCCTTCAATTCTGGCAGCTAGGAGCCCATTTCATTCAATGTCCAGACAGTGATTATAAATCAGATTTCATTGCTTTGCCGGGACAAGCTTTCTACACGTGTGTGTGTGTGCGTGCGTGCAATTCCGACAAAGCAAATTCATGTTCTTTGGCTAAGGAGTTTTCCTCCAAAAGGAAACATGACTGCAATTGTGATGGCAGTGGAGTGTGGGGAATTGTTGGCCTTCATCTCTGAAGGGACCCTTTCACTCGGATTCCATTCCTTCCTGAAGGAATAGCCGAGTATTTGGTGTCTTGGAACAGCTAAACTTGGACTTACCGGCCCCTCAGTTTCACGTCTTCGGGTCTCCCGAATTTAGGTGAAACACCCAGTTTCACTCTTCCTTCCGCGTGATTTGAGAGAGCGTTCATTTGAAGCGTGATTTGGATGTGTCATGCCGTTACGTAAGGACATCCCGTTCCAGGCCTTTGTAGTCCGGTTTGTGACCCTAAGGTCAACATTGGTACCCTTGCGCAAGGGTGTTTGGAACCCTGATAAACATATCTTGAACGTGTGGGTCTGTGGGTTGCAACATGACTTGATGCTCAACAGGAAATGACCCAGTTGGGAATGAACCATTTCAGGGATTCCCTCATTCATCGGGGAGGGTTTATCTTGGGCTCATTTCCATTTCTCATTCCCCGCCTAGGGTGTGATGTCAGGGGTTGGAACATGGGTGTTTTAGCCAGCTGTTGGGGTTGGTTTGCCCCAAGCAAAATCCCTGCCTACGGAACCAGCAACCAGCAAGACTTGGGGTCCTTCGCGGGATCCGCAGGAGGCCCTCCACCGCGCCCTCAAAGCACCGGAGCGATGGATGGGCCCCGCGGCCGGGAGAGCGCCGGGAGGGGGAGCGACGGGAGCGCTCGTGGCCCAAGGGGATTGGGAGATGTCCAAAAACGCCACCTCTACTTTACCTAGGTCCCCCAGTAGTGCCCATTCTCACACTCTTTTGGTTGGGAGTGTTCCCCTACTGAAATAGACTACACAAAATTCTAACCTCTCTACTGGAGGGGTACCCTTATTCTAACCTCTCTACTGGAGGACCTAGCTACTTTACTTGCTGGTTGGATAGGCAGATGTGGCATTGAAGCAAATGGAAGTTCCACTTTCTGGCTGGTTCGATAGGGGAATGAGAAATGGAATGACCCCAATGAAACATCATGCCTGATTTGGTTTCAGTTTCAGGGAATCCCCGAAACGGTTCATTTTTCCGACATGGGTCATTCCCCTTTGGCAGCAGCAAGTTTAGGGGATCCTCTACATCTGGTAAATCTGACTTTTGGACCGGCATCTAGTGATCGATTTTACCACGCAGGGGATCGAACGGGAGCAAACGTGAGGTTATCGTGCACCAACCAGTTGGGCTTTAGCTGTTTGAGAAATGATGGATTTGTCCAAAAGCGCAAAACAATGAGAACTTGTTTGGAACAGGGTTGAGCCAGAAGGATACGAATCTAAGCCAATTAACAATTCTGGTGGTGGTACAAGGGAGAAGCATCAGCAGAGAGGTGGCTGATTTGCACCTAATATTTGTGTCTCAAATTGTAGGGGCACCACAGTATGGAACACCTGGAGTGCCCCAAGGCAATTTCTTGAACTTGGATGATGTTTGAACCCTGACCTGTCTGAATGACATGCCTCCTTTGGTGGTATTGTGGTTGTGCTCAGGGAACGTGTAATGTCGGAGTGACCCAACCCACTGGCGTGTCGCAAACTTCATTGATGGGTCCCATGCTTATTTCGTGGAAGCCCCACGGTCTCTGTCCCACGAGAAAATTCATTTTCCAGGTACCCTGACACAGTTGCTAGGCTACATGTGTGGAAGGAAGGATACCCTTTGAGGGGTGGTCCTTTGAGGTTCCTTTAGGTTTCCTTGTGTCCTTTCAACCATCACGCCACCCCAAGAACGTTCATTCAAATGTGCCTAAAAGGTGATTCTAACGACTCAGAGAAAGGGACAGCACTCAGCTTCTGTGTCCTTTTGCGCTGAGACTGTTCAATCACTCTTACGGCGTAGTTACTGAATTTCCTCTTGTTATATTTTTCATGTGTATATTCCACAAGGCTACTTGGGTCGAGAAGCTGATCCGGATTTTTATTTTCTTCGCCAAGAGTGGACTGGCCCTTTTCATAGACCCCTTTTGAAGTACACTCGATTCTTCATGGGGGGTTGCGCAAAAACCCAAGCTGTCCCATTCTTTCAACCATCGTTCATTTCAAGCAGAGGTCACCCTTGCCCCTGGTCCTTTGACGCTTTTCTGAACTCAACCCAGGGTTTGCGCTAGGGGTTGCACAGCAACTGGATTTATTTGGTCGTCATCAATGGAGCCTTAGGAAGAACTCATATTAGATTGCCAGACAGACAAACAGCCAGCCAGCCAGATAGAGACAGACAGATAGAAAGATGATAGATACCAGGAACATGGACCAGCACCAAAGGGGTTCCCTCCCCTTATCAGCTTTGGGTGCATTTGGGAACCCGTCTGACAAAGGTCAGGTACCCCGCTGGTGGTTTGGATTGGTGGCTTTGGGATTTGATCCCTTGGGTTTTGTTGGCTAACCGCAAACCGGAAGCCGTCGGTTGCCCAAAGCGACTCGACTTGATCTGACCTTTTGTTTTTCCTTTGGTCCATTTTGAGTAAAGGTCCCAAAAGGTGAACTTGTCATTTCCAGGTCCTTTCATGGTCGTTGTTGTGAAACATTTTGCATTTTTGCTTATCGTTTCTGCTCCCCTGCCAACGTCAAGCGGTCGGTGAGAATTATTGACCCAGTTGCCCGTCGTGCCCTTTTTTTTTTGGCGGGAAGGGTTCCCCTTTAAAGTCAACCAACCCAAAAAGGATGCCTTTTTTTCCCATGGCCACTGGGCGGTGGGCAAGTCGGTGAGAGTTGAGGTGTCCTCAAGGAGGAGGGCTGCCTGCCACCCCGCCTGGCGGACCTCACGATCATCGGCAGCCACGACTCGGGAGCCTACTGGCGCCCCGAAGTTACGAGAGGTCGAGCTAGCTTGGTGTGACATGCTGAAGCATGGATGTCCTTTTTGGTTGATTTGGTTGAACAATAGAGGGCGATGCCTGGTTTACCTGGTGGTTCAATCCACTACCAGCCTCTTTTCCCAAAAAGGACACCTATGTGCTGAAGGCTCACATGTCCAGACAATCCATGTATACCAACATTTGACTCAACTGTGGGTGTACGTATATATATATATATATGTGTATATATGTATTATAGTTATATATATATATATATTGTACGAATTGTTTGGGATTGATTTGGGGGTTAACTAGAATTCCCTTCGGCCCTCAACAATGACCATCGGCAATATGTCCCATTTAGTTGGAAATGCAATTTGTTCAGTGGTTTTCCCCAATGGTCATCCCATGTAAAGGACCATTTGATCAACCCCCATTTGGGGAGGTGAATTTGGGCCACGTTTTGTGTAGCCTATAGGCGCACTCACTTGCTTGGCTAAAATAAGCGGTTGAAGGATATGGGGAAGGCTCCGGAAAAGCGTTTTGTTGTGTGAGGCAGGAATGACAGGGTTCTGGATTTGGGTAGCCAACACTGACCATGTTGGCGGATGCTATGAACATTTAGAGCTTCCACTTGCTTCAGTGACAGGCGTGGCGTTTCGGGGCAAACGTGCCCATTTGCACAGCCACGGTGTGAAAGATTCCACGGAGCTAGAGACCTCAAATATGCAACACAACAAGTCTGGTAGACGTGTAGATGCATAGATACACACACATATTTATATATATATATATACATACTTTTACACTGTGTACATATGTATATCTATATATGTGTATACACCTATAGACACACACATATACAAATACATACGTGTATATATATATATACACATGTATATATCTATATATCTATACATGTTAAGTGGGCCGTTTGGTTCGCATGCAATCTAGAGTTTGGGCACGGACTCCCCTAAAGGACGCAGAGGCCCTTCGAGGTCAGGAAAGAGAATCTCTAGGACGGAAAGCCCAAATGAGTTGGTCTTCAACAACAAAAGTGGCCATGTTAAATGCCACGCGTTCAATGCCATGGGACAAGTCAGGTACTTTGCCTAAGAGACACATTGAGCTCATCATTTCTGCAAATTGACATGGAATGCAAAAAGGGGTCATCCACAAGGAGTCCCTAAAACTAGGTGATTTGAGTTCCGTAACTACCTGAAACCAGGGTCTGAGGTCTGGAGTCTTGGCAGCGCCATCAGATCCCATAGGCCTTTGAGAGTCACAGTCGGCAATTGGGCGGATTCCAACGATTTCAGACTAATCATTCCCTTGTTTCCCTTTGCCTTCGGTTCCCTTCGGTTCGATTCCCTTTGGTTCGTTCCATCATTCCTTTCGGGTCACTGCCACCTGACCCCAAAACCACGCCGCCTCCCGCGCGTTTCGCGCCTCTCTGCGAGGCTCGGGGACCGCGCGGCCCACTGCGGCGCCAAGTGCCGCGCCTGCGAGCTGGCGCCCCGCACCACGCGCGCCTGGGGCCTCGCGCAGCGAGGCGATCGGTACGGCCGGACTTCTGCTGGCGCGCCGTTCGTTCCAAAATGCTGGCATGCGCCAACCCCATGGTTTTCCGCGGCGGGAGATTTGGGGCCCAAGAAAAGCCTTCTGGTTCTGCATGGGTAGTCTGCACTTGGATGTTCAAGCAACGTCAGGTATATAAGTAGATTAACACCATGGGTATAAGGAGACCAACCAGGTACCCAAGTGAATCGTAATGGTTACAACCTGCTTGCTAAGTTGGTTGAACATCCGAGGAAGGGGATGGGAGTTGTGCTGCGGGTAGATATGCAGACAGAATCGCCGAGGTTTCTTGGCACAGGAAGGCTTACCAGTGGTGACAACCGCCAAATCCAAACTTTTGACGCTTGTTTGGGGAGGCCCCGGATTCATTTGCATTATTGTAAGGGCCATCGTCCTTGGAAATAGGTTGTGTGGTACTGTGACAATGCCAAATTGCCTCATGACCATTGAGGGAACAGCATGATGCTCTGCGATAACCCTTAGTTTGTTTGGCCTGGTTTGGGGATTGGACTCCCTAGCTTTTGTGGAAGGTAGGGAAACCCCCGGAGCACCTGCAAACAGGCTCTAAACCATGAACCAGAGGGAAGCTGAAGGTTGGCTCAAAGGGACTCCAAGTGGAAAACCATCCATTCAAATGCCCCACCCCCGTTTCACTTACACTCCCAAAATCAGGGAAGACTCATCCATTAGAATGCCTTAAGCCCCCCCCTCCACCCAATTTCACACATACCCTAGGGGCAAAATCAGGGAATCCTATGCTCCGACTCTTTTCCGGTCTCGCGGCTCTGTGCCAGGACCCATCTTGCAGCAACTGCTCGACGGCGTACGCGCCTGGCCGGGGTTCGGCTTTTGTTTCTCCTGGGGCCCCTAAATCAGGCGACCCTTGGTTGGTGAGTGGTGGTTTGGGGATTTCACCCTCTGGCTTTTGCAGAGGGTAAACTGAGAAACCAGCGCACCACCAAACCAGAAACCCAAACCAACTGGGGGGAAGCTGAGTAAAGGATACCAGCTGTGGACAGAACCACAGGCTGATTTGGAGGATCCTTAGGTGTTTGGATGTATCCTTGGTTGGAATCCTGCGGGCTATGGAGCACAGAACTGTCCATTCCCAAAAAAAACAAGAACAAGCCCTGCATTTTATTTTTTCTATTTGGTCCCCACAGAGACGACTTCAGGGGCTTTTCGCAAGCTCGAGCTTTTCCCCAAAGACTTCAAATGGAGAAATTTATTGGCACTGCGCCCTGGAGCCACCAAGAATCCAGGAGAAACGAATCCTTTGCGCTCACTTGTGGGCGAATCCACCTGACCGACCTTGATTTCCCCAAGTGCTTCCATGTTTCGACATGGCGACGAAAAGCCTTGTATTTCCAGGTCAATTCGGGCAAGTGAGTTGGCAGTATTGGCAGTGTTTGAGTAGAATGACCCTACTTTCAGTGGTGGTCGTCAAGGCTCTTTTGTTGATTTCCCCTTCTCGAGGGCACACAAGCAGTAGGCCAATGTCGCCAATGAAGGGCTTGAGCAACTTGACGCTGCCGGCTGACTGAGTGGCATGTTCGACTTTATTTCCAATATACTTCCAAAATTGGTACATAGTGCCATGTAGTGCCGGAACAGGGCTATCTTCATTGTTCTTGACACGTTGTTTACGTCGGATTTTTCCGATTGCTCACTTTTGAAAAACCGAGTCGTCCCCCCCAAAAAAATAAATAAATACAACATCCACGGTGCACGTTAGAAGGAAGCGTCCTTTGACTGGGGTTACAACTCCCCCTTTTCGGAAGACAAGCCCAACCCCACGTGGAAAGGCTCGACGCGCACAAAGTTTCCAGGGGGCTTAAGCAATGGGCTCCGTCCCATGTCCCTCTGAGGGTATTTCGATCTGCGGCTCACGGTGGACCGCTCGGTGGAGGGGTGCCGGCACAAGGACACGGTCACTGCGGAGTGTTGGAAGGCGGGGCTTCAGAGGTCCGAGGGTCAGCGGCTTCTGAATCCGAAGTAACATCCTCCACGTTACCTTACTTGCTGAAATGTATATATCTATATATATATATAGATATGTGTATATATATATATTATTCCCGGTGTCACAGCTGGAAGCAACTCCTGTGACGTTTGTTTCAGTTCCTTAACTCCATCGCTTCGAATCTTGGTTCCAAAGCTTCATGTCAGAAGGGGGGACCTGTGACCCATGCATCCATGTGGCACGGATGCCCGAGAATTTGTCCAAAGGGAACCAGGAGCTAGTTGCTCCGGCAACTCATGTAACTTTAGCCCACTGCCTGGTTTTGGTAAAACCAGCCCTGTTTGTTCCACTAGCTGATGAACGTAGCCGAACCCCGAAGTTTTAGCTCGAGTTTCTGTCTTTGAGTGGTAGCCGGATCGCGCAAGGACAAGTCATTTGTATTTGCCCCCCAGGTTTTGGTTTTTTGCACCCGTGCTGGTTCAATGCTGCCAAATTGCTCCCAGGCATCCCGAATCTTGAATCCGCCCCCTTGAATCCGCCTACTTTGAGGCATGCCTATCTCATGCCCTCCCAGAACCTGATGAGTCAAGAAGACCCCTCAAATCTGTGTGGTTTCCCTAAATCCCTTTGTTGAGGGGGGTTGCCCTTTGTCCAATGTTTTTTTTTGGTTTGAAGGGAGTAACCTCAAACATGAAGCTGAAGCGTACAAAAACCGTTGTGTTTTGGGGATCAGAACGGGCGCCTGAGGCGCAGCACTGCCTTCTGGGCCCGCCAGCGGCGAACCTCACACGAGACGTGAGGCGCTTCTCTCGCCCGCATCGATTGGAGTGGGGGGGAGGGGGTCAACTGCCCTCATCATTTGGCTGTGGCTCAAAAAACCGGTGCCCAAAATGGGTTGCCCTGGTAAGTGGAAAGCCATGGACCAAAACCTGCGGTTTGCCCCTCCTGTTTCATCTTGAGCCACACCCATTTATAACAGGTCTTGGGCTCCTTGGGGCCATGTCAGTGGCACGCGGAAAGCTCGGACCTTGTTTTAGCCAATCAACTCAGAAGGTGAGACTCGCTGACCCATCAGGCCTGCGCGTTCCTGATGATTCGGCCTCGGAGGCCTTTGAACTTTGGGGGGTCAACCACCTAACTCCCAAAGCCCGTGACATCGCCCCCGCGTCTTTTGTTTTCTTCGGGCTCGGAAGGCCCGGGCGCCTCGCTTGTCACATGCCATCCATTCTTACAGCCGCGCTTTCGGCTCGGCCGATGCGTCCGAGACCCAAAAGAATTGCGAATATACCAAATGGGTGCGGGTCGAAAATAGGTGCCGGAAATGGAACCCTGGAAAGTGGAAACATGGACTACAACCTGTGGTCCCCTGGTGGTTTAATGTTGACCCATACCATATTTTGCATGTTGATCTCTTATTACTCCTCCTTGGACATTTGCGTCAACGCTTTTTTTCCGGTGAGTATTGGTAGCTTGCGCCGGTTTCCTCCTTGCCTGAGGAGCTTCTTGCTCATGGACAAGAACCAGTCGGAGGTGGTGAGACTTGCTTCACAGATATCCCTACGTCACCGGGCGCCCCCCTGGAAGTTGTGATGGTACCCTCAAAGGCCCTTTGCGGTTCGAAGTTCCATCTGCAGGAGATGTACCTTCTAATAATAGTACGGTCGCATATCCACGTTCGTGGGAATGAGGCGATGTCTGGAGAAGCCATTCAGGTAGAAAGCCTGTGAAAGTCATATTCATAACATCCGCACATTGTCGTTGGGTGCCAAATTGCCCGGAATGTGTGATGTTCCCAGGAAACATGAAGGGATGGGTCAGTGTTTGAGTTGCGCATTGCTTCATTCAATGCTTGGGGGCCAAGACCACATTTGTTCAAGGTTTGGGTGTAAAGACCCCCACATGTAGGGTTTCAGGGGCATAGGGGTGGCTGAGCAGCAAACCACAAGTCAAACCCAGCCATCAAAACCCCACCAATCAAAGCCGAGCACTCCAAAAACAGCAATCCAAATCCAGCACGAGCCACGCACAACCTGGCCTGGGGGGCTTCAAATTAAGGATGCACTGTTTTTGTTCTTGCTGGAGGTTGGGTGCCCTGCTTTTGACCCACAGCGGCCGGACCCAATGATAACCTCCAAACCCCAACCCCATCAAACGCACCAATCCACCATGGACAACCTGACGCTGAGAGTCACAGACCACCCCTTTTCAGGGGAATCGGGCATAACCCAATTTGGAGTGCTTTGCTTTGTGATGGCACACCCCCAGCGATTTCCGGGGTCTCCTCCAAGAATATGCCAGAACTCGGGTGCGTTGTCTTTTGGTGTGCACCAGACCAGACTTGGGCAAATTATGGCGCATACTTTTTATTTATCGTGATTGACAATAGGTCCGGAGAGAGGGAGAGCGAGAGAGAGAGAGGGAGAAGAAGACGAGAAACAAACAGAACGAAGAGAGGGAGAGAGAAACAGAGCAAGAGAGAGCGAGAGCGAGAGATACCCCCCCATCCCATTTTTGGGTCCCTTTGGTATACTGTGTTCCCGGATCGATCCCAAGGATCCCGAGCTGGTAGTTTGGGTGAACTTGTTTTTAGTTTTGCAGGCTTTTGATTCTTTTCAATTTTAGGGAGCTGCGAAAACATTTGTTTTACCATATAATTACCAAGCAAGGGCATATGTTTTGCTTGGGAAATGTGCCACTACCGGAATGAGTCTTTTGCCCCGCTGACTTAAACAAATGCTCAGTTTTGCTCTAATTGGCGGTTTGGATTAGTGGTTTGGTGGTTAGAGGGTGGTTTCCCATTTGCCCTCTACAAAAGCCAGCGGTTCAAATCCAATTCCAACTCACCAATCCAAATTGCCAACTACTTCCATTTTCTTAAGACTGTTTGTATTTCCCCTGTTGGTTTCATAGGGAACCTAGCACTATACTGGGCATCATTTGTTCCCCTGCGGGACGGGAAAAAAAAAGAGCAAATGGAGGACGAAGGGTTACCCCCACTCCCTCACTTCCTGGACTTTAAGGTTTTTGGGTTTGGACCATTTGAGTGGTAAACCAGAATTTTGGTTACTTGTCTTGTCCCATCCACTCGGGAGCTGTGAGGATCTGACGGGGGGGAGGGGGGGGGTCCTGGCTTGGACCAGTTTCCTTTTGAAGGGGCCGGGTCCCGAAGGTCAGGTTCCATAAAGGGGTGGTCTACCTGAAATGGAAGTTGTGAGGTTCCTTGGTGTTAAAGGGAATCTATCACCAGCTAGAGTCTACATGACCCTTTAAACATGGGGTTATGACCCCTTTCTTTTGGGCAATGACCAACCATTTTTTAAGGATCATGGATACTCCAGGTACTGAACATATCTTATCTTTATCCTGGGGATCTACTCATGCAAATGGGAGGACTTAGGGTTATATGGGTGCGTTTTTTGTTTAGGGAGCCCAACAAATTGTGGTTTTCCCTTTGGCTTCGCTTTCAAAAACAACAAAAAGGGGTCTCCCAACAGACTATATGGCTGTAGGTCAAAACCAATGGTACCATTTTGGGGAAGGTGAATTCACCACCCATTTTAGAACCTATTTTAGTGGTTGGATTGGGATGTTCACTGAGGGTACGATTTGGATTTTGAAAAGCCCATGGCCATATTGAGCCCCTTTTCTTGGGTCCTTCCATGAACTTGGGGTTCAGTGATCACAGAATGGCCCCAAATCGTTGTGAGGATCCTGAACCTGAAGCTGGAGTTCTTCACCTCCACGGGCTGGCAGGGCCAGGGGCCGGAGCTCACCCGCGCTCGGCTCGAGGCGAATCGATCGATCGATCCGATTTCGGGTCATCGAACGGGTGGGATGTGGTGGGAGCCGCTCGGAAGCGTCCGGTGGATGTGCGGTGGGCCGTTCTCGGTTTTGGGAGGCCTGTCTGGCTTTTTGCTTGAGATCAAGTTCGCCCTGCCAAAGCAGGGCGCCGTCTGCTTTGTTCTTCTCCACACTGGGCTTCTGAGAGAGTTTCATGGTTGATGATACTTTGTGTGTGTAGACAGGTTCGTGTTTTGTGTTTGGTTGCGGGTGAGGTTAGGGCTGGATGTACATTGTCGCATGGCTGAAGCAAACATGGGTGATGTTGACCCCACATGAAAGAAGCTAGCAGATGAGCAGGGGGATGGTTCGATGAAGGTTGCCTTACAATTCCTGACGCGCAGCAGTATTGCAAGTGAACCGGCCATCGAAGCGCAGGACTTGACTGGAAGAGCCTCGCATTCACATGGACCGAATTAGGACCGCTTTGTAGGCATTTTGGCTTGAACCCAAGAACCCAAGAGCGCAACATGAAGATCCTCTTGTTTCTTGCCTTCCCGAAGTTGGTGTCCGCGATCACCTACCCCGTGCAAACGGACGGAGCGTGCTTCAGAAACCGAGACCCTCCTTGCATCAAGACCTTCGGCTGCACCGTAGGTCATGCCTTGTGACTTGTTTTGGTATGACCCAGGGTGCGTATCCAGCGAAGGCTGGATCCTCAGCGTGGCCTATGGCGAGGCATTCGAGTGCTGTAAGTGCCGCCAAGACGTGAAACGGGGACTTCGGAAGTGCAGGACAAGGAGTGCTGGGAGAGTGCAGAGAACTGTGAGAGCACACTCTCCTGCTGTCGCCGTACGAGCGCCTGCCCTGAGAAGTTCATGCTTGCAGAGCCATTGGACATGTGCCATCGCGAGGATTGCCAGTTGGATGAGCTGGAGAACTACACCTGGACAGCGGTCAGCAATGCCTCTGCCAGCTGCATGATTCAGCAGAACAACTACGGCCAGCCCGGCTACATTCCAAATGCCGCGACCTGCCAGACCTGTGTCTACGTTGGTGACACAACCACCACCACAAGCACACGCACTGCAACAAGCACGATGACGGTCACGCACACTTTACCTGGCGCGGCTGTCTGGGAACCAGTAGGTGCTCCAGGCAATTCAGCTTGCCGCGGTCGCAATGTTCACGATAACCCGGCCGAGCACTACTTTGTACAGAGCGGCAAAAGCATGGAGAGCTGTAAGGAGCTTTGCCTCAAGCTATACCCCAAATGCAAAGGCATTGAATACATCGAGAATCGATGTGAGATTTGAACCAGGCCTCAAGGAATCTATGTCTTCAAACCACTCTCAGGCTTTACTTGTCTTCGTTTCGGTTGGCCTAGAGCTTGACGTCCGTGGCCGGCCTTGACCACGCATGTCGGGGGGACTCGCCCACAGACAACGCTGCCGGTTACTATGTGGTTTCACCTGCCTTGGACTGTAAGGCCCTGCCATGCCGCCGCCAGCCCCTTTGGCGTTGTGTTTCAGCCCGGGCGGCCCAAGTATCAGGCTTCTGCTTCGAAATTTCCCCACAGAGTTCCAAGGATCCTTCCGTGGCAAGTCGTACCACTCACTTGCCCAAAGGCGACCTTTTGACCTTTTTGTTTTCCCATTTTGGTCCACCTTTCGTAAAGGTCCCAAAAGGTTAACCCTTTGTTTCCAGGTCTTTGTGGGCAAGTGAGACCATCAATGTAGGCTCCTTGCCGCAAAGCACTTCGCTAAGAACTCGCATAGTGTGTCGGGGGTGAGGATATTGTCAGCCTTGAGTGTCTAGACAAGTTTAGCGGTAAACATACAATTCATATTTGGTTGGCCCATCCGCTCAGCAAGTCATTATTTGAATCATTTGACTCAAGTGAATTGCTTTGCGCCCTTGCTCCGAGCCATATGACCACCTGGCTTGAGGAGCAATGCTGCCGCACCAGATCGGAAGCCCTGTTTTGCCAGTCCCAATTTTGTAAGCCACACTATAGACCAACGCTGACCATGCGGCTCCAATTGGGGAAGCTTTGCCGCACAAGATCGGACTGGTCTTTGCCAACGGCACGCAGAAAACGGCTGACAACTGAAACTATAAAACCTTTGGCTTGCGAAGCTTGAGGTTGCTTGTGAGCATGGCAAGTGTTTCCTCGCTACCAGACGCATCCAACTTGAAAGCCTGGCTCCCTTGGGTGTGAACTCTAGTTGTGGGATCATTGGGGCATCATCGGGATTGATGCTTTGACGGGTGTCCGCGTTAATAGCAATCTGTCACTCGAAAAGGTGCTGCGGCAATTGCTCGTTGCGGACCTCGGGGACTTCATGCGGGGCCCTTGGTCTGACTCGAGATGATTCGGTGGCTTTATAACCCAACATCAAACCGGAATGGTGGCTCCCCTTGTCTCACTTCCCGAGTTCCGTTTCCGCTTCGGACTTTAGTCACTTAGTTGGCTTGGGACCATGTTAGTAGTACATGACTGGTGACTTTTTCCTGGGCGCTGGATCGGAAGTGAGTTGTTCCAGTGATGTCTCACAGATTGGAGCCGTTCTTGTCCCCAGGGTCCCTTTTCTCCTGATCAGCGCCTGCGGGGTCTTCGAGACATTCCGGAGCCGGAGTATTCCCTGCGCTTCCCCATTTCTTGGACTTGAAGCTTGTTCGGGAAGACTACTTTTTTAGCGGTAAACCAAAAGCATTGGAATTTGTTGTTTGCCATATAGTCGTTGAAACAGAAAACACAACACACACACACAAACAACAACATTGAACGTTTCTGTTTGGCCAATCAATTTTGTTTTTGCAAAACTTCCAAACTTAATATCCGCTGAAGCTGCGGTCATCTCCCCCTGCTTTGGTGCGTTCTTCTTGTTTTTCTTTCTTCCGGTAGGTTCGTTGCCTGCTGCTTGGGCGCGTTCTTCGGTTTTTTCCGGCAGGTCGGAGGAGGAGGGCTGGTGGCTGCAGCCGCTGCAGCGCCTGAAGCGCAGGCTGGTTGTGCTGATCCAGGGGCGGCACCTGGCAGTCTGGCTGCAGGAGCCCGGAGCTCGGAGCCGATTCGATGCGATGCTGGGGGATCCCGGGCGCGTGGCGGGCGTTTCCATTGGCTGAAATATGGTTTTGCGTTGTTGTTTTTTTGGGTGGGGGATTAAAGAAACATAAGAATAATATAGGTATTTCTATTTTCCCCTGGTCTTCACATATTTCCTCCTTTTTCTTTGGGGGGGGCAACTTGGAACTTGGATGTGTTTCTTAATTTTCCCCTGTTGGTTTTAAAGGTAATCGATTTCACTACTGGAGATATGTCTGAATTGTCCAGGGGGCTTCAGCAAATGGAAGTCTTGGTCTTCACATATTTTTCTGTGGTCATTATTTTGACCATGTCACAATGTCTGGAGGTTATCAAAGTAGCTGGGGTGGTTTTCTTTAACCTACCACTTGACAAGTGACTTTGATACTGGC